AGATAGTACATTGTGTTCATAAAGGGATGGACATGGTCAGAAGATGATACACTGTGGTCATAAAGGGATGGACATGGTCAGAAGATAGTACATTGTGTACATAAAGGGATGGACATGGTCAGAAGATGATACACTGTGGTCATAAAGGGATGGACATTGTCAGAAGATGATACACTGTGGTCATAAAGGGAAGGACATGGTCAGAAGATGATACACTGTGGTCATAAAGGGATGGACATGGTCAGAGGAATATTACAGTTATTGATAAATATTACAGATTTGAACAAATACGCACAAAAACATCAAAATTAGCACAGAAACAGTACTATATAACATTTTAGACACATTCTAGACAGTTTATCAGATAACGAAAAGTTAATTTTGGGTTAAGTTACTCTTTAAATAAAGACAATCTAAAATGTCTGAGTTCTGTGAATATTTTATTTTCCTAATCCTCAACTATATGAGGTACATCTCAATATATTTAGTGTTACTTTGCTTACAATTTACTAAAAATATCTAGTGTACCCCCCAGCTAACCCCTCTTTCATTTTGATTAAAGAAAAAAATGTATGGTATTAGGTTTCAATTTAAAGTTACCAAGCTGCTATTGCTAACATTAAGACTTTTTTTGCTTCCTTTTCGCCCAAACACAGTTTTATTCAAAGACTGGGACAGCAAGCATCCGGCTGATGAAACTGTGGCTCATGGACTGTAATACTACACCTTATAATGGCATTTTAAAAAGTCTGGTTACAAGATAACTACAAGCTGATGACATAAACAGAGAACTGTGTGCAAAACTTCGCATGATCGTGATAAATTGCAACTTGTAGTTATCTATAGTTTCCAGCTTGCAGCTGTCTGTATGTTTTGTCCATATACATCTAATGCCAGCTGACTGTACGAGTTACTGTTTATCAAAACGTTCTTACCCAAATTATATCACATTTACTTAAGTTCAGTCTGATTTTATCAGTAAAATGATTTTAAAAGACCGACATTAAGCCTAGGGATATTGTTTTTGAAAATGACCTTGTACTCGTTTATGTGTCAATAATTCATGAACTGGAAGATTTTTAGTAAAAAATACTCGGGGTCTATTCGTTATAATAATGAAAAGTTATGTTGGAGTCAAAGTTTTTCTGACCGCTGCTGCTGGTTTAGCCGGCAGCTAGCTGCGCTAAAGCTAGCTAGGTGAAATAAACGAAACTGATGGATTCCTACCTTATGTTCCTTCACAACTTCACTGAGACAAGGATAGCGCTCTGAAATCCATCGGTAAAATTTCGGTACTCCCATCCTGACCGGTAAACTTTCGACTTTCCGTCTGCAGTTAAAGCTGAAAATAAGACTTAGATGCTAGGCTAAGAAAGCTTGGAGGCGAAATCAATAAAGCTTCTTCTTCTTCCTCTTCTTTTAGGTTTGCAAAAATTTTAGGTGTGCATTACCGCCACCAACTGGAATGGAGTGTGCTTTAGAAATATCAGATACTGAGATTTGTTGTAAAATTTCAAATRGATYTAATCTCATTTTCATTTCATCAAGTCTTTTAATTCATTGAGCTCTTTCATTTCTGTACTTCTGACAAATCAATAAAACTTGAACTGGAGTCGTGTTTTGTTTCCAGCGGTCGCTAACCAGCTTAGATGAACATATTATTTTCACACTTGAAATTGGAGGACAACAAATAAAATATTTTTAGGGACCTCCCTAGGTTTGAGTTAGTTAAAAGAAAAAAAAAGTTAAAAGTTTACTGTTATTGTTTTCACCCGAATGAATGTGTGTGTGAATGAAAATGTCTTTGCAGTATAATTTAAAACTCTTAACGATTAATACCAGAGGTCTTCAAAACAGCATAAAACGAAACATAAATTCCTTTTTAAAATACTGAATTTATATGGGTTTGGACCAAAATTTTGTAACATTATTAAATCATTTTATGATGGTACAACCAGTACAGTAGCACTCCCTACAGGCACTACTCCTCGCTTTTCTTTAAACCGAGGAGTTAAACAAGGATGCAATATATCCCCCTTTTTATGTATTATAGCAGCTAAAATGTTAGCAATCCACATGAAAAACTCAGAAATAGACTAATTAAACATCTTAAATAATTGATAATAAGTCAGCTGGCTGATGACACTACTATTTTTTGAAAAACTTAGAACAAATCCCAGAAATACTTAAATATATCAATCTCTTTTCAGAAGCATCAGGTCTAACACTTAATCATAATAAATATGAACTTATGGCCATACATGATTGTAATATTTTAGAAGCATATAATATCCCTGTTAAGTCTTGTGTAAAGTATCTAGGAATTCACTTAACC